CATAAGGGGCCAGTCATACAGTGTCAAGAGTCCAGCCTTCTTGAGTGTGACAGGATCTCCTAAGGACATCTGCAGATGCCTTACAAGGTGAAACCTACCTATTATTAAGCAACACAATGATTTTGAGTTTGGTATAAAACACTTGATTTTTGCTTCAAAATAATTTTTTAGAAGTTAACATTGACTTTAAAGAATATTTTAATCTTTTTAAAAATAGTTAACATCAACATTTTAAAATGATTCCTATAGCAAATGTTAGAGCCAAGTTAACAACTCAAGACCTATTGAATATTTTATTAAAAACATGGGAACTGAGAACAGGATGAGAAATTACATTTAAGGACCTAGTGGGAGTTGCCTAAAATTTATTCTCTAAAACAAGCAGGCTGAGTAGGTGGAAAACTGCATCGACAGCTCTATTCGATAAACTCTGGGTGCTTTCATCTTTAAGTTCATTGTCAAGCTTGATTTAAAAAGAACCAAAGGCTTCAAAGATATCACTGCTATAAGTAGTCATGCAGGGGACTCTCCAACTCATTAATGAGGAAAGAAATTATTAGCTTCATTTTTTAAGATGTCTTTATTTTACTTGAAAGAGTAACAGGGAGAGAGTGAAAGATCTCCCATTTGCTGATTAACTCCTCAAATCACCACAATAGCTGAAGCTGGATGGTCCTGAAGCCAGGAGCCAGGAGCTTCGTCTGGGTCTCTCATGTGGATGCAGGGGCCCAAGGGTTTGGATTTGGATCATGTTTTACTACTTTACTTTATCATCGTTTGAGTGCTGGATTGGAAGTGGAGCAACTGAGACTAGAAATATCACCCATATGGGATATGAGCACCTCAAGCGGAGGATTAGCACGCAGTACCATTGTATCAGCTCCAACTTTCTTCTTTATCAAGTAATTTAGTATATATATATATTTATATATATATATATATTTTGTTTTGTTTTAAATATTTATTGACTTTTCTTGAAAGGGCATATTTACAGAGAGGGAGAAGCAGAGTGAAAATCTTCCATTGCGGGGGAAATCCCAGTGCCTATAAAACTGTATAACATAATAAAATGTTATTAACAATAAAAAAAAAAGAAAATCTTCCATCATTTGGTTCATTCATCAAATGGTAGCAATGACCAGAGCAAGCTGATCTGAAGCCAGGAGCCAAGGAGCTGCTTCCAGATCTTCCAAGTGCAAGGTCCAAAGACTTTTTGCCATCCTTGACTGCTTCAGGCCATATAAGCAGGGAGATGGATGGGAAGTGGAGCAGCCGGGACATGAATCAATGCCCACGTAGGATCCTGGCATGTGAGAGATGAAGATTTAGCCACTGGGCCATTGCTCCAGGCCTTTTTAGTATATTTTGTGGAAATATAAAAAAAAGAGAAACCTTAGATCATTGTTTCTGAATTGTAAGTACAGGATTTGGATGCCATTTCAATGTAGCTCATTGTCATGCATGGCCACTGCTTCAACATTGTGGTTATTGTCCAGGCTATCTGGCACCCACAGTAAAGTTGAATTATTATTTATTGGTACATAAGTGAGCTTCATGTATTCAGTTCTATTTAGTTTATTTTGTCTTAGAGCTAATCTTATGCTTCAATGCAGTACATTTTTACTTGTAAGTTATCATTAAGAATTGAAATATCTTAAATATTTGCTACAAAGTGAAATATTTATTTCGATACTGTTGACTGAACCCTGGGAACTTGTTCCCTTGATGAACATCATGGCCAATGACAAAACAGACAGAGAAGGTGATTTTATCGCCACTTGTTTTCACAGAAATTCTGACTCCTGATAGGCCAGCATAACATGGCAAGTGCAGTCTGCATTCAGACGAGGTTCTTCTGGACATGTGTATGGGGCCTCCCATGTCTGCTCTCTTGCTTCATTTTCTGGGAAAGTCTGGGTAAGGGATTTTTAGGTATAAAATATCCATAACAGTTCTGATAAAGTTACTACCTCATTAAACTTCACTACTTTATCCACTGCTATCCTCTGTGTCATATCTGAAATTCCTACAGGAACACAAGAACTTCTATTCCAGTCATCTGCAAAATCATTTTGGCAAGCCAACCAGGAAGGAGTGAGAATGGTATTAATGTCTGCATGACCTAAACATGAGAAATGTTTCACATCCAGCCTACTTCTGTCATTTTTCTTGCCTTGTCTACCTAGCTTCAATGGCAGTCAAAATCTTTGCTACACACAGATACTTGGGTTAAGAAACTAAAAACTGCCAGAGTGTTGGCTACTTGAAAACCTGCCTGTTAGGATAAGCTATTGTGGAACATGGAGGATTACATTAGCAACATGTCAGCTTGTTAAAAAAAAAAAAAACTTTATATGATGGGACACTGTAGAATAAGACACTTGTCCATGATCTGTGGCCAGTCCTTTTGGGAACATTTTGTGGAGACTGAGGTTGCCCCTCCTGTATGCTGCTCTGTCTTGACGTGGTGATGTCGGCCACAGTTTGTTTCCAGACCCATGCAACCACAGACTGAGCACTTAAATGCCCCTAATCATCGCTCACTGCAAGAAGACTATAGTGGCAGATAAGCCAGAAGTAGAATGGGGAATCTTACATTTAGGCACCCACTGCCCTCAAGAAAATGTCTGTTCGGATCTGCTGTAGATTTGTCTGCTATTCCTTCTTCATTGCAAGCTTCAGCAAGTGAGAGGGAGATGGCTTGGGTTACAGCCAATCTGACAGGTTCCCTGCATAAGCTTATCGGAAGTTTTGATCTTTTAAATTCAAAATCTTTTTTCCTTAACCTTTTCAAGCTGTCTGCTATATTTTTCCCATCCCTGTAATTTGCATTTTGTTGGTGACTTTTTTCTCCAGCTCATTTATAGAGGAAATCATGATAAAGGATTATCCGAGTTTCTACATCTTTATTCCTTAATTTATTTAATTGTTCCTCTAAGGAATGGGTTCAAATAGTGATACCATGCTCTAATCTTTTTAATCAAGACTTTAAAAATGTAACTGACCTACGACACAAAGCTTTTATTCATTTGGATTTGGTTTCTTGTGTTCTCTGTTGTTCTTATTGAGTTGTGGTTGTTGGACAGAACTGAGTCTTAAATGAGTTAGTATAATCTGTCTATTTCAAATGTTTGAGTTATCATCTTATAACACCGGCTCAATTCAGCCGCAGATATTTCCATAAAATATTCAGATTAAATATATTATAACTTCAATGACATATGGTCATTTTTTACCAAAATTTTTGAAACCCTGAAAAATGTTTTCAAAGTTCTGAACTGAGTTTTCTGACTTTGAGCCTTCCAGTCAGCTCTCCAGAAATCTCAAAGCCTGGGATTTCGGCCTGAAGCAACAATCGCTGTTTGAACTAATTTAGACCATGTGTAATGCAGTGGCAGCTTACAAGCTGATGTCAAGGCACCTGCAGAAACAGAACTGATGCTTTTTATGCTGGTGTCAGTCACGGCGGGTGGAACTCAAAACCAATGAGAGTTCTTCCTCCGTGGATTGATGCCAAACACAGCTTGTCATCAATGTTTTGTCAGTTGTGGGATGATGGGGTAGTGGATATAGATGCTCTCTCTCTCTCTTTATTTCCAGCATCCGACCAGGTCAGTGCTCATCAGTGTTGGGTCAGACTGCTAGCTGCCTCCACAATCTGTACTCCCACTCTTGTCTGTGACCTTTTCTTCAGACTGACCAGGTACCTACAGTATACTGGTCAGAGTGTCACCTGTGTCCTTGAAAGGGTAGAGATGATGCATCAGTGAGGAGTCTCTTCCTTCAATCAGGAGAAACCTCCAGGAAAGGGAACTATCTGGCTGTCATATGTGAAATATTGTGCACAAGTTACTGTCCAAGCCAGCAGCTGTGAGTTGAGGGAAACGAAAAGAGATGAACAAGGGTTTCTTCTCTAATCCAGCAGACATCATTCATTTGAAAGGCTACAAACAAATGTTCGGAAGAAATACAGTAAATAGCTAGTCAATGTCAGATCAATAGGGGTAAAGTTTGGGGCTCAGCCAGAAGAGAGAGGTGGTCTCAAATAATGAGATTTGAAAGTCAGGTTCTTCAGTGAGCACTACAAAACTGACAGGAACTTGGGTTATGTGGTTGAGCTCCAGTGAAATCTGAAAAGACATAAGTTATACACGAAGCTATAGTGAGATACTGGCTAAGTCACCCAACCCACAAAATCGGGCTGCATGGTAAAATGCAGAAGCCTAGGGTAAGAACCTAGCTGGACCAGCTTGTCCTGAGTGGGGTGGCAAAACAGGGATGCTCCTAGTCTTTGATCGAATAGGCAGGGTTCCTGTTCCTCACTTTGTTTTTTTTCAGATGGCAAGCCGACCCTCCATGCCATGTGAATCACCATTAGGATGTGTTGCCAAAACCTGGCCACAGTTTGACACCACAACCTTAAAGAAAAGAATAGCTAATCTTTCTCTGTAATATTTCTTGGCCACAATAAAATTAAAAGACCAGGAAACCTGGGCAGAAAATGGAACTTCATATTATGATACCATTTTACAACTCAATCATACGTTAGCTTGTATTCTTGTAAGATGATGTACTAGTGAAATTCTGCCAAGAAAAAAATATTAACAACCCCACTGTTAGAATAGCAGTCCTGGAAAACACAGCCACCTTGTTCTCCCCACAAAGTCTTCAAGCATGATGCAAAGGTGCAGTGGCAAAAATCTTCGCTTTGCACATGCTGGGATCTCACGTGGCTGCCGGTTCCTATCCCGGTGGCCCCATTTCCCATCCAGCTCCCTGCTTGTGGCCTGGGAAAGCAGTCAAGGATGACCCAAAGCCTTTGGACCTGAACCTGGGAGGGAGACCTAGAGGCAGCACCTGGCTTCTGGCTTTGGATCGACTCATCTCTGGCCACTGTGGCTGCTTGGGGAGTAAACCAGAGGATGCAATATCTTTCCTTCTCTTCCCCTCTCTGTAAATCTGACTTTCCAAGGAAAATAAAATTAATCTTTTTTTTTTTAAGGAAAGGCTTCATGCGGCCTTGGAATATATTGTGTTGTGGATTTTCACCCCTCTATAGGAGATACAATGCTCGGGAATACCAGGCAGCTTCTTGGTTAAGATTCTAAAGGCTGCATCCATGGTCTATCAACAGAGATCAGGAGGAAGGGCAGAAAACTGGGCAAAAGGAACAGCATAAGGATAGGAGTTAAGCGTAAATAAAGGCTACTTACATTATGAAAGAGACCAACAACTCCAGTCCATCCATGAATAACATGTTTTAGTGATGCTGGAACCCAGGGCACTTGACGAGCAGCTGGCATGACGGAAGTCACCTCTGAAGAAGTCCTGCCTTCCTGTCAGAAGCAGAGTCCCTGGTGGCAGTGGAAGGACTCCCAGATCTGCACCATGGAATCTTTCGTCTCTAAACTGAGTAACTGGTGTGCCTTGATCAGCTTCCAAACTGATCCCTGCTGTTGAGGATGTGGAGCCTAGGGTCATTGTTAGTACAATATTAGTACTGTGTTAGTGGATGTTAATACTATGCCAATACCATGCTGGGATTCCTACACAACTCTTCCTGTAACTTCATGCTCACCATACACACTGATAATTGGACACTATCTCTCAATTCTCCATAGTCTTCAATCTCTGTCAATCATATCCATGGTACAGTTACTCAATTGGCGCTCAGAGCATTTACCAGGGAAATGCGCTGCTATTTAGGCGTCTAGCTTTAATCACCATTGGGACAGCATAGCAATGGATAATTCCCTGCTCATTAATGAGGATGACAAGAACAGCCAGGATTTGTACTGACAGCACCTGGCTTGGAATGCTTGGTCACCTAGTGGGACGATTAGTCACCTAGTGCTTCCTGAATAAAACCTTTTGTTTTAGTCCACTACCTGCAGCATTCTCTTCCTGTCACAGACTTGTCCAAAGCAAAACACTGCATATACATCATTGTCAGAATGTCTCTGTGGAAATTCTGCCTACCGATGTTTGTTCCCTAATTGGACAGGGCTATGCACAGGGCCCAGGTTTGTCTACTGTCTGTATTGCCAATGATTCAGTTCCATACTGATTTATTATTTTTATTACTTTTATGTTTTTATTTACATTTTATTTCCTGAGTCTCTAAAAGAAGAGTTGCCCCCTAATTTCTATCCTGAGGAGAATTATCACCCTGGTTGGATACCAGGAACCACTAGAGGGGAAACTGGGAGTTTCATCAAATAAGATCTTTAATAATCTCTCGCTAAATGAACTAGAACTAACATCCAGATCTCAGCCTCTTTCTTTATCCTGCAAATTAGATGAACACTTTGGCTGCAGTCACCTTTCGAAACAGTAAGTCTTACCTGGGTCCCTGACAGTGAGGAAGCCGGCAGTGAAATCAGCAGCAATAAGGACAGTAGTAATGTAAAAGCCCTATAGCTGGAGGCAATCTGTAACCTATGTTGTAACAGCTGCCAGCTATTACCTGACTGCTCACCTACTACTCTGATGTAACAGCTGCCAGCTATTACCTGACTGCTCACCTACTACTCCGATGTAGCACTTGTCAGCTATTACCTCACCTACTCACCCACTGCTCTCTTACAATGTATTTTTAGTAAATCTTACTCTGCCCATGTCTCATTGTGTTTTGCTGGTATGTTCTTCTCATTGCCCAAGACACTGACCTACATTGGTTGCATCCAGTGATACCTTAGCCATGCTAACTGCCCCCTAAGGTGGTGTCTGTGCCATGATACAGGAAGAATGTTGTTTTGGGGCCTGGTGCCGTGGCCTAGTGGCCAAGGTCCTCACCTTGAACACAGAGATCCAACGGGGATGCCAGTTCTAATCCTGGCAGCCCTGCTTCCCATCCAGCTCTCTGCTTGTGGCCCGGCAAAGCAGTCGAGGATGGTCCAGGGCTTTGGGACCCTGCACTTGTGTGGGAGACCCAGAGTAGGATCTGAGCTCCTGGCTTCGGATCGGTGCAGCATTGGCCGTTGAGGTCACTGGGTGGGGGGGTGAATCATCGGATGGAAGATGTTCCTCTCTCTCTCTTCCTCTATGTATATATCTGACTTCACAACAAAAATTTAAAAATCTTAAAAAAAATGATGCTGTTTTGGTGTCAAATTGGGCAGGAGGAAGTTATGGCCAACATGTCTTTCACAAGGCCAGGAAACTCCAGAACCAGGTTGAATGAGGTTGGAATTTTTATCCTAACATCGGTCATGGAAACCAAGGCTATTACCCGTTCTTGACTCTACAGCTTCTGTATTCTTATTGCTCCTCTTTGGATCATAGTCTTTAATGTCCTTGGTCCTTTTGTGTGTAACGGAACAAGCTGTCTAATTTCTGGTGGTCATGAAGTGAACCTTCTAGCCTGTGCTGTTGGACAATATGGTTAGCTCTCTGGACCACGCAGTACAATCATATCCCAGGCCACATTCACATACTATTGGTTAGGTCATAGGAGAAAAACATCCATAGCAGCCGCTGTGGCCACATGGCAGCATGAAGAAACCGCAGAAAACACCTTCTACTTTCTACCTTCACCCCTCCTACTACTGTAAGATTATGAGTTACTTTTCAGGGAGGGTAGATAATGTAAAATAGATATCAGCTTGTATGTATGAAAGATGCTTTAGGGTTAATAAAGGAATTTAAACATGGAAAACTAAGAAGCAGTCTTAGAAGCAGCTCAACATTTTACAAAACAATGTCCTGACATTACTCCAGATAGCTTTATAGGTTGTCCTGGCCTTTGGCCCATGGGATAAAAACTAAAAACAAAACAACAAAACAAAATATAAAACAAAGCAACAACCACCAAAAAACCCAGAGAGAATTTTTTGCAATCTCATTTCAAATTGCTTGTAATACACATCACATCTGGATTTAATATGTGTTCAACAATATATCAGTTTTCTTTCTCTTTTAGTTTATTCAAAGCTTTTGTAACTCGGGAAGAATTTTTTTGTGTAATTTCTTTTGTGCTATAACAGTTCTACTTTTGAACAAGACATGGACTAGGAATGTGAACTGAATGGCAATTTAGGAAGGCAATTTCATACTTTTTATGAAAATCTACTTATTCTAAGAGCTGCTATGGATGCCTGGCTTCCTGTTTGTTCACCAACATGGGTTACATCTGCAACATATCTGTATTTTGATATCACATCTACGTGCGCACACACACACACGCACACACACATATATACACAAATACATGTTTTACATTTTATGATTCTTTTCTATTATTTTAATGCTTGCTAATATTTGAACCACACATTGTCTCTTCCATAAAAGGATATGCTCCTGGTTAAACTTTTTGCTTAGTTTTTGTTATACAGTGCATTCTGATGAACAAATGTATTTCTCTTTTCCTCTTTTGCTTTCAGCATTTGAGAAAGTAAGCTAATTGAACTTTTTCCATGTATGCTGAAGTTTTTGTAGATTTTTTAAAAAAAAACTTTTACAATGCTTTTATTGTATCATTTCATGACATCATGTAACAGAAATGTTTTTCTAAACACTGTTGATTAGTTTAACCTTAAACCTCTGTTATATTTTGTTTTTGAGAATTAAAGTACATTTTTGTTTTGTCTGTTTCTAATGAGTACAGACATGTGAATTATAATGACATATAAAAGGAAAGAAAAGTACTATGTTTTTTGTTTGCATGCTTTGAGTAACAGCAAGGATTTAAAAATAATTAAAGCATTATTTCTGGTCCCTCTTGGAATTTTTAGATGAAAATGACCAAATTTCATTTAAAAGCAGATCTGAACTTAATCCTTAGGAAACTAGCTTAATACATCTGAAATAATGCGCTGCATTATGCACTAAAGCGCTCATGCTTTCAAGTCCGTACTTGAGGAAGCCAGTCACATCTTTGAGAGTCACAGCTTCTGACCACAAATACTATGAGAAACATTATTGGAATACTGAAACTAGGGACCCTAAGCAATCTAGGTAAAAGGAATTTCTAGACAAAAAGATATAAACTGCTTCTAGCTTGGTAAAATGAAGGAAAACTTTGTAAGCTCTGATAACATATGGATCATACAGCCTCTTTCAGATTGAAGTCGTATCCTTTGATTTTGCTGTGAAAAACCAAACTCCTTGTGTAGTTTTGTTCAAATACACAATTTCTATGAATTTTGAAGACCTTTCACATGGAAAATGAGTTAAAAAAAAAAGAAACACTGGGCAAGGCTGGGCAAGTCTGTGCAAGGATTTGAAAATATTTTTCTTTTTTTTTTTTTAGCAAAATAAACGTAACTTTTAATCTTTAATTCTATTATTTTCCATGCTTGTTTAAAAGGTTCTTCATACAGGTGATTGGAACATTGGGGGTTTCATGATGGCTGAGGACATAATGTTTGCAAACATGTGCATTTTAGAGGTCAATAGAGTGAGATGGTAGAAAGGGAGAGAGGGAGAGTGTTTTGCTGCTTTATTGTCCCAATGCCCACAAGGGGTGGGAAGACTGAAACTGGGAGTTGGGAATCTAACCAAGTCTGCCATGTCAATGTTTGTGGCACTACCACTGCCTACCATGTTACATACTGAAAGCAAGCTGCAATTGGGGGCTGGAAATGAGTACAAACCCAAGCATTTCAATTACACAGTGGACATTTAAACCATTGGTATAGGGTTAGAACAAACAATGCCACCATATGCTTTTAATTGATGAGGGACTCTGCTTTTGAACAAGGTCTCATTTAGCACATACGCTGCCTGTACATGATACCGATTTCTCAAAATGAAGAAATAAGGTATTCTTTTCTCTCCTTAGATGTTTATATTAGTGAGGGTTTATTCTTGCAAAAACATTTTACCTAAATAGAAATGTGGATTAAGAAAAAAAATCCATCTACTTTACATGAAGAAGCATGCTGCAAATATGCATACTTCCTTCTTGCAAGTTTAGTTCACACTTAATTTAAAACTCCTCAAATGTCATCTGAATATATCTACTTGCTGACCTTTTCAATACATCTCTTCAGTTTGCATGTGACCTGCTTTCTTTACCAGTGCCATTCCCTGATATTTATTTCCTTGTCTTGTTTTAAATATCCAAAATGCTGCACTTGACAACACATCTCAGACTACTTCACTGCTCTAGGAGAAGGACCTTAGTTAACACAGGCCTGCGGAACATGCCACTGCTCTGTGCTCCAAATACCAACAGCTTTGCTTTAATGTCAAATCTGCCCTTCTGTGCCCTGATCCATTAGCCAACTGGGAATGACATTTTGTTGCAGGCTGGTACAAGATACTTTGTATCCAGGCTGTTGTTTGTTTTTCCTAGGCCTCCAAAAACAATTCACATTCAGGTATTTAATGGCTACAGCTCAGGTTCACCAGGTAAATTAAAGACCAAATTTACAAGGAAAGTACATCTCACTTTGCAGTTGTTTCAACCACCCAGTGAAGCCATGTTCTTTGCAGATTTGGTCCATCTGGGAGGGATGCTGGCCACCATCCATTTTCTGGTCACATTTGTTAGCTAGGAGCACAGCGGGGATAGGGTTGAACTTTACTATTCAGATGGCTTTTTCTTTCAAGACTGCCTCAAATGTGGAACTTCTTGATATATCAAAGACTACAAATGCATCCATAGCTTCCTTGTGGTATACTCGGGTCTTGTTGCCAAACCGCTCCTCCCTAGAAACAAATATGAGAGATTAAAAACCACGAAGGCAGACCGTGTCTTCTTTGGTTATTGCCCTACTGGCCATCAGGATAATTCTACTGATCATTGGGTTTTGTTTTTTTTTTTGTCAGTTTCAGAGGAACATTAACTGGTGGGTTAAGGTAACCCCTAGAGAACCCTCCTCTATAAAGCCAAGGGTCTGCTGATTTGGTCTGAGTCCACAAGGAACCAGTCTCATATTCTCTGTGTGCCCAACCCATTCTCCATCAACATCATTGTGACAGTGAAAGCTGTGAAACTCATCACTTCTTCCTGCTCCCTTGGTCTAAGAAAAGCTGCAACACAGGAAAACAGATCTGGGGTGGAGGAAGAAGAGATTGGCAATGGAACCACAGGAAAGACATGTGCGGTATGGAAAACCCTGGCCAAGCAGATTCATGGTGGAAAAGGAGAAAACATGGTTGACAGCCTCAACTCATCTTCCTAGTCTATACCCACTGCTACCCTTTATGCAAGATAACTCTGCTTTAAGAAGCAGATATGTGGAAACCTGTAGTTTCAGAAAAGCAAAATAGGAAACTGCTCTTAGATATGGACCAATTATAAACCTTCAAATATTGTTACATTTTAAATAGTTTAAAATTACATTAAACACATTAAGAAAAATTTAGTATTACAATATCATAGGGTAATTATAAGGTATTCTCTTACTCTACCCTGTGATACCCATCTTTGACACAGGAAAGGCTTATCTTCATCTGAATAATGAAAAATAGGCAAATAGATGCTTGGTAACTATGACACTATGAGTGT